CCATGTCTTTTCAACCTTGTTAAAGTCCAATCTAGTAAAAACTTTTATTTTTTCTTCCTTTACAGATGAAGAAACTGAGACACAGTGAAGTTAACAAAGAAATAATTTGCTTAAGAGCCCTGTGTTTGAGCCCTCAGTGATACAGCGGGACATTCTGCCTAATGTCCTAAGATTATGTTCAAATTAGTAAGAGTCCTTCTTAAAATGTCACCTTTGTCTGTAATAAGCTAATGGAGATGGACCAAAGATAGAATAAATTCAGGTAATCATCTAAAAATAATTTTACTCTTGATTTTGAAACAAATTTTCCTATTTCCATTTAATTACTCAAGTGTTTCGGAAATTCTTATTCAGTAGCACAAATTCATAGACGTAGATACAGCCAGAGAAGACCCAGACAATCCTATAGATGTATTACCATACTTTCCCTCTCATTTCCTGTCTGTAGACTTCTAGGATGAAGAAATCAATGCTCAGGTTGACGCAATAACCAAACCTAAATAACGCATTTCTCCTCTCATTTCCCTGGAAGCTGGCATAGCATTTAGGCTTGATTTGCTCAGATTTCTTTTCATTGAATTGGGATAAAGCAGACTGAATTTCATCATTTGCAAAAATATGATGATGACATCATCCACTTTTTAGGGTCACCATTTACAGAGCTTACCTTGTTTTGTTTTTTTAAATGAAGTTATCCCACTGTCAAGTGGGTTACAATGGGTTTTATGTGTGCTGTTGATCACTCATCACAGATCGGGTATACGGAGAGAAAGAAGGGAGGATGGGAGTGAAGGGAGAAAAGTGAGAAGGGACAAAGAGGAACTGAAGTTGTAAAGATGCCAATAAATTTGGGAGCTTGATTTAGTTGTTACACAGCTTCAATGAAGAAACTCTTTTGATATGAGATTAAAGTTCAAGATATCATTTATCCGTCACAACAATACCAATTTATACGCAACAATGACAATGAGCAGATCCACACTGCTTTCTAGGTCACTGTTTCTGGAGCTTATGCAGCACAAAAGAAGTAGGAGCACTATTTTTTGTGACTAGAATTTTAAAAATCCCTCTCTGAGATTTATTCTTACTTTGGAGACACAAAACATTGCAGCAGTTTGCCCAGGAAGCACTGTTCATCTGGTTATATTCCCAGGAGCCAAAGAAACCAGTCTATTTGGAAGAATTCCTTGCATAAACAGACACACATCAGACTTTTTAGACAATTTCATTCACTTTGAGGGAAACAATCTTGACTATACCCAAAGCTGAACCTTGTGATTTATTTCTCAATTTCCGCCATTGTCAATGGGCTAAAATAATCACAGCATGTCGTACACACATCCTTTATGCCTCACAGGACCTCTGTTTTCGAGAGACACAGTGACTGTGATGTTGGGTTGAGAAAGGACACAGTCTATCCAGTCCAGTCTGGTCTGTAGCAGACAGCAGAGAAGATATTCCTGGATTCTCTGCTTTACCACGCAAGGTTGTTTTTCTTCACAACTCGTGTGGCAGGACAATCTGTCACAACCCTGCCGTAGATGTAGCTTGTAGTCAAGATTTTAGTGAAAAATTCTGACAATGAGGAAGTGTGCAGGAGCCAGAGGAAGGTGACTCCTTTTCTGAGTAGCCTGCTAGATCCCCTTACAATTGGACCTCTTCTACAGTGAGTCTCCTGGAGCCATGAGACATGGTTCTTGTTTCCTGAGATCAAGCTCTAGGAGAGACTGCGTTCTCCACTGGTCCATTTCATTGTTCAGCATCTATTTAATAAGTCTTAGGACTTTTGCTGAGAGCTAGGGAGTTAGGGCTGGGAAAAAACAAATGATCAAACAATTTAAAAAAAATCCTTCCTGCTTTCAAGTAGCTCTTGGTCTGGAAAATGACACAGCATAAAAGTCAGATTTGGGCATTAAACCTTGGCTTTCTTTTCTCTAAAGAACATAACTCCAGTGGACTCCTATTTCCTCAAAGTAACATGCTGATAATATGACTTTCCTCTGACAGCTGCCGTGAGATTGAATTAGCAGGTGCAAAGCATATGGTCTGTGTTCGACACACAGTGCTTAAAAGGAACTTAAAGATTTTACCCAATAGAATGACAATTTCATTACCGTTTTCTCGCTACTGATGAACAAGTACCTAAGTTCTATAGATATTAAGGGTCACAGAAAAATTTCAAGGCCCTCTTCTAGTCTCCTTGTGTTTATATAACACAATACCTGAGCCTAGGGAATTTATAAAGATCAGAAGTTCATTTCTCATAGTCCTGGATGTCCAGGATCAAGGCATCTGCCGAGAACACAGTCTCCAATTTCCAAGATGGCATGTTGCCACTGAGTCCTGGAGCAGAAAGGAATTTGTGTCTCCAGATGGTAGAAGGGATATAATGGGTGAGCAAGGGCTAACTCCTTCTGTCAAACATATTTTCAGAGCATCTAATCTGCTCTGATAGCTCAAACATGGCCTCAAGTTCCTCACCTCTTAAGATCATTACATTAGGAGTTAAGTTTCAATATGAATTTTGAAAAAGGCAGAAATGTTCAAAACACAGCAGCCTTTTGACAACTAGAGAATTGAAGAGTGGGGCTGAGAATTATGGAGCAAGCAGGTCTAATGGTAATGACAGGAGCTAACACGTCAGACACCTGAGTTGCCATTTTTCCTGAAGTTTTCTACAGTCTGAGACTGATCCTGACACTGAGATTCTTCATACTGAGCCCTCTCTCATGCCTCTGTCAGTTTAAAAACTGAACTCTGTACTTGATTTGATTTGATTTTTTTCTGTATTTTAGGGAAGGGTCTACTGGGTGTTCAAGGTCTTACTACTAGATCAGACTTGTAGTGATTCTCCTATTCAGAACCTCCCAGGTGCTGGCATTACAGGGGTGCACCACCACGCCCAGTCTCAATTGCTGTCTCAGTGCACCATGGGGGCGGGGCTGGCACAGCAGGCCTGGGGATCGAACTGGCCCCTGTGCCAGCTTGCAGGCATTTTAATCCGCTGAGCTATTTGGCCGGCCCAAGAACTCTGTACTTGAAATATCCCGTGGTACCAGCTACCTGCCAGAAGCTAGATCCTTTTTACCCCCCATAAGTCCTTTGCTGTCAGCATAGACAAGTTCAAGCACAGGCATATCTGCTAAACTTTCCTGAACTCTTCACATTTGTATGTCCCATGCACGTCCTCAGGCACCACTGCTCAGACCTCTGAGAGCCAGGCCCAGGAGGTTGCTCACACTGTCCTCCTGTGGAAACACACCACTTGCCACACGAAAGTTGGATTCATCTATTCAGTACCACATTGTCACAAACCTATTTCCAGTGCCATAGCTCACAATGCTTAATCCACTGTCCTTAATTTAAAAACAGGAAAATGAGGAGACCCCAATGTTTGCGTGGAAGCAACGGATGTAGACTTACATGGAGAGCTGTCAGAAATCTTACTGGAACAACAATTGTTTCTCCTGCTACTTTCACTCAATTTTTTTTGGCCTTTAAGGTTGTTAGCTTGATCCACTCTCTTGGATTTACTGTCCAAAGATCCCTCTGTTTTCTCACTGCTAAACTGATCAGTGTCCCCACTGCTCCTTTACTCCTTCCTGTCTGTCTTTATTCCTGTCTGCCTGTCTCCATCTGGCAAAGCCGGATAATAGGGAACACCAAATGCTTAACAGCTATTAATGCCTTTCTTTGCCCTCCACATTGCTCTATCATTCTCTCTTTAAGATGCAAACGTAGCCCCCAGAGCCCACACTCTGGTGTTTACTGTAAGTAGGATGGGAGGTTGTGTCTTTCACACATTAATGTTATGGGGCAACTCTGCATAGGAACCAGATCAACCAGATAGAAATCTGAATAGAGCCTTTCATTTATTGAGCTCAGGTGCATCAGCCACTTCTCACGCAGGAGAAGGCTGATGGGTCCCGAACATAGGTAGCAGGGGGGTATTTATAGCAGAAATAACATCTAGTTTGGTAAGCAAATTTGTTAGCTAGTACAGAACAACAGAAACTACATTTATATGACACAGCTGTAAACTGTTTATAACTAAAAGGTCTTTTACAGCTTAGTGATAAGTGTATATTTTTATAAGATATATCTTAAGCTGACTACGTTATAGGAGATGGTTGGAGAGGGAGTTTGTGTTAGCTTGCTGCCTTGGCGACAAGGAACAGTTATTTATTGTTGAACAGCCTTGAGCTGAAAGGGAGAATATATTTCTTAGAGTAGATAACAGGAAGCACAAGGGGTTTTTATAATTTTCTACAGTTAAGGCACAAAACTCTGTTAACCCTTTACAATTATGCTTTCTCTCCTTCTAAATGGGGTAGAGAGCAAGAAAGTTTGGATTACATAATAATGTTGCTTTAGAAATTTTACCAACCAGCAGGGGGTTGGTATTGGGTGGCAAGTTGAAATAAAACAATGACAACTTTCATGCTGAGCTTTTTATTTTTTATTTTTATTTTATTTTATTTTTTTCAGGTTGAGCTTTTTAAAAATGTGTCTCTTATTCACTCATATTGTTCCATTAGAATTTGCAATGCTCCTTTGAGGCTTCGATACTATTTATCTTACATATATGGAAATAGAGGCCAACGAAGTTTAAGGTCATACAACTAGAAAACAGAGTGGAGGCCAAATCCAAATCTCTCGGTTCTGGACGTTTTACATAAAATAGAAGGAAAAAAAAAAAAAAAAAAACGGCCGCCCTGGGCACACCTAGGCGGCCGAGCTCTACCGGAAGAGTGCCCTAGGATCCTTCATTCAGCCTGGAGAACAGATTGATCAGGGGCGAGGCAAGCAGTCTGTGGAAGACCTAGAGACCTAGAGTGGGGACACCGAGGGGGACTAAGTTTGGACTGGGAATGACTCGCAGTCCCTCTCCAGAATCTGACCTGAGTTTTCTCCCTGACGGCAGAAAATGCGGTGTGGCCTGGCCCTGCGCGGCCACCGTAGAGTCCCCGTTGCCATGACTCCCGGCTTCCGAAGCCGAAGCGCGGAAGAGTAGCCTTACAGGGTGAAGGAAGTCCCGGGTTCTGGGTCGGCTTCCAGGGGCAGCGAACAGGAGGAGTGCCATGGGCCGGAGTAAGCGACCCCACCCGTGCTCCTCATCCCGTCCCGGGCTTCGTGCCGGGTCCCAGGGGGCCCTCGCTGCCAGCCGCGACCACCCTGCCCGCGGCCCCCCGCCCTCCTGCAGCCTCGCCTTCGGGGAGAGGCCTGGTTCTCCTTGCGAGAGGGCGCGGGAGGCAGGGGAAGAGAGGCCCTGGGCTTCGGGCGAGAGGCGGCGGCGGGCGCGCCCAGCTCCGTGGCCTGCGCTCTCCCTGCCCCGCGCCGCGCCGCGCCGCGCCGCCCCTGCAGGGAGGCCGTGGGCTCTGGCGGTGGGGCGGAGCTCGGGCCCACCCGCGACCTCTGTGCCTCAGCGCACGCCTTCACCTGCAGGCCCCAGCTGCCCCAGCTTCCCCAGCCCCAGAAGGAAGCGGGGGCTCTTCTTTGCAGGCGCAGTCGGTGCAGCCTCCACGCACAGCAGTTTTGTACAGCCCTTCCTAGTCACTGGTTGTAAGAGTGCCCTAGTTAATGTTATTTTCAGCAAGATACTGCGCTGGCGATGGGGTTTCTGACCTGGAATTGCTGACCCCCTGGCGAGGACGGAGGAGGAGGGAGGGATTTGTAAATCCTAAAACCTCATTCTTTTCTTGTTTTAAAGGAAATATGCTTTATTTATTTATTTATTTATTTATTTTTGGGTAGGACAGTTTCAATAATTAACACATTGCATACATCCGTCCTACTGGTTAATTGCTGTACAAGATGAAGACGTGATATCCTATTTACAAACACCATTAGAACAAATTCCTCTATTCATTAAGAGAATGTAACTATATTTCTACCCTAAACACTTTGAATACACAGATACAAAATGGACATTCATCTCTATCCCCACCTTTTTTTTTTTGTTGTTGTTAAGTTCCGTTATTTGAATATTATAGCCTCATTCTTAACCAGGAACTGGTATTTCCTCTTGGAGCTGTTACTCATCTTTCCTTTCTTTATGGCTTACCCCTTGTTCTTTCTCTGAATCGCCTCTATTTTCATTTATTAAATCGTCGATTTATCAGGCTTAGAGTGTCTGTCCTGAAGCAGGGATGGCAGGGGAGTGGTAAATAAGGCAGGGTGGCCACCTTCTGGGCCGGGAAGACAAGTGCAAACGCCCTGATTGAGGCCTGCTGAGAGGGGAGGCCGGCCTTGACGCCCAGGGGCAGCTGAGGCGTCTCTCTGGAAGCAGTGTTGTCTGGAAAGGAGGCAGTGGAGAAGACGCACAGGAGCCCTTGGTGGCCGCTGTAACTGCCTGGAGCCCAGGTGAATGACAGGAAGAAGGGATGGAGGGGTAGCCTGGGACCAGATCACACAGGCTTTAGAGAATGTGCTGAGAGATTAGAAAACTAACATTTCAGTTCACTAAAGAGCAGTTGGGGAACCACAGGATTTTATTCCTGGGCAGGACTTGGCCATATAAGGGCTCGAGAAGGAGAGAGCAGACTTTGGAAGGTCCTGGCAGCAGGAACATAATAGCCACTTATCCCACGAGTATCCAGCGTGTGCCAAGCCAGGTTACGATGCTTTACAGGTGTTCTTTTGTTAGGCTTCCTAGTAACCTCTTAAGGGAAGGATGAGTTGCTGTCACTGTCCACGTTTAGATGAGGGGACTGAGGAGGGACTGGAAACCAAACCCTTAAAGATGGTCTGGATCCCATATTCCACCATGCTAAGTCCAAGGCAAGGTTGATACCTTTAAAAGATTCAGGTGGAAAGAGTAGTTCTTTCCACTTTTGTGAGTCTGTCTCCTTTGTGCTTTGCTATAGATGGCCTGTTACTTGGTAAGATTTCCTCAGATGTCTAGAAGCCCTACATGTGTACACAAATATTGTTATTGTTATTTTAATTTTAATTTATTTATTTAGTTATTTATTTTGAGGTACTGGGAATTAAACTCAGGACCTTGCGCTTGCCAGGCAAGCACTTATTCTACTGAGCTCTCTACCTGACCTTTAGCTATCTCTCCAGCCCTATTTTTTAAAATACTTCATAGGATTTAACTGGAGATATGTGTGCCAAAGTTTTCTTTGGGGAAGATTTAGAACTATATATCCAATTACTGTAGAAGGTAGAGGGCTCTTCATCTTATCCATATCCCTGACTAAACTTTGGCAGTTTTACATTTTTTAAGGATTTACCCATTTTATACAAGTTCTTGAATTTATTGTCATCAAATTATTTGCATCATTTCTACATTGTCCTTTTATTGTCAATGGAAGACACAGTAGAAGACAACTTTTTAATTCCTAATATTGATATTTAGTGTCTTTTTTTCTTTTTTATTGTTAGGTCTGGGTAGAAGTTTACCAATTGCATTTTCCTAGATTGTGACTTTTTCTGTTTTTGGCTATTTAGTTATTTGATTTATGTTATAATCTTTATCATTTACTTTCTTCTGCTAATTTTTCTTCTATTTATTCTTTTTCCTAGTTTCTCAGGGTGGAGGCTGATGCTGTGATCTGTCCTTTCTTTTTTCATTAGCGTTCAGTGCTATCTGCACCCTTCCACATCGCCTTTTAGCTGCATCCCATATACCTGGATATTCTGGTTTTGTTTTTAACATTCTGTTCAAAATATGAACTTTCCATTTGATTTTCTGATATCTAGTGTTTCAAAAAGTTACTTTCATGCATTTAGTCTGAAATTTAAGTTATTTTCATCAGATAGGACAAATTCTATCCTATGATTTTATCATGTCCAGAATCAAAATTTTCTGCTACTGCTATGATTATGTCTGGTCTACTCCTCAGCTTTCTCTACCCTCTAGTTTCAAAATGAAACATTTCCTTTCCTCTCATTTCCTTTCTTTCTTTCTTTCTTTCTTTCTTTCTTTCTTTCTTTCAAATGTGTTTACTACAGAGTCTACAGGATCTCACTGCGTAGATCAGACTCTTAGTGATCCTCCTGTTCAGGGCCTCCCAAGTGCTGGGATTACAGGCACACGCCACCATGCCCAGTCTCAATTGTCTTTTCAGCACCCCGTGGGTGGGGCCGGTATGACATGCTTCAGGTAGAATGCAGTCCCTATGTCTGCCTAGGCAGGCACTTTAATGTGCTGAGCTATCTGGCTGGCCCCTGAAGCATTTTTTCTCTGCTATCAGTGCATTCTTCTGGTTTCACACTTAGTTTTTTTGAGGGGAGGGGAGTACTGGGGATTTAACCCAGGGCTCTCTCACAAAGATATCTTTCTTTCTTTCTTTTTTTTTTTTTTTTTTTCCTTTTTTTTGGAACTGGGGATTGAACTCCGGCCCTTGCACTTGCCAGGGAAGCACTTATTCCACTGAGCCATCTCCCTGGCCTACGAAGATATATTTCAAGCCCTCTAGAAATATAGTTTTTGATAATGTCTCACTAAGTCCCTAAATTATCCAGACTGGGCTTGAATTTAGGATCTTTCTGAATTCTTCCCAAAGTGCTAAAATTAAAGGTATGCACCGTCATAGCTGGCCCAGCTTAGTTGTTTTTTTTTTCTTTCTTTCTTTCTTTTCCTTTTTGTATTATATAATGTCTTGAAATTAGTTGTTCAGATTACCAACAAGCATGCGATATCTGTTTTAAAAAAGAAATAAATTAAGAAAACAAAGAAAAATATTGTAAGAAATTTAGAAGGACAAGAAAAAAAATTAAACATCAGATGCTCCCCTCAGTAGTCCAGGAGAAAACAGCAGTACAACAATTATCCAAGCCATCCTGCGTACATACATAAATATATCTCTTTCCCCTTTCCCTCCTCCTCTCCTTCCCCTCATCCTGGCTGCTTCTTCCCTTTGAACAGATTTTTTCCCTTTCACAGTATGTGTTGTACCAGTATGCAATTTCTCATGGCTAAATCTTGAAAACAACCCAAATACCAATCAACTGAGGAATGGATAAAAAAGTTGCGGTATTTTTACACAATAGAGTATTAGTCTGCTATAAAAAAAGATAAATTCAAAGGTTTTATAGATAAATGGATGCGACTAGAGACCACACTCATAAGTGAAATAAATCAGACCTCATATGCAAACAGTATTTTCTCGCTCCTGTAAGAATCTGTAAGGGTAAATAAAACACTTCACTTTTGATAGCCAAGTAGCATCTCAGCCTTTCCTTATCAAGTGTGTTGGCCACCCAATACAACTGTCCTTTAACTTCTGTAATACCTGATACTCTCACTAGAGTGTTCCTTCAGTTGATATCCCATCTCTGCTCAACAGCAATGAAGGTGTTAGCATTTGCACAGCTACATCTGGCTAAGCACTCTCTGAGTCCCCCCCCACATGACAATAACGATGTCTACCCTGCCAGTTCAGCTGCAGACTTGAGTCCAACTACGAATCCCGACTAGCATCTGTTTTCTTGGACCACTTCTGGTGGTATCAACTCTTCCAGCTGGGCTCTCCATGATTTAGATTTTTAGACAGAGATCAGCATGTAGGAAATGAAACAGAAAAGCTCCTTCAGTTGGGAATCAATAGGGAAGAAGGCAAGATTAGACAGAGGGGGACTTGGGCAGAGGTTCATTTTAACAGAGGCCTCGCATAACCAATCTCAGGAGATCTAAACTTGAAAAGGACCTTGTGACTTGCCCAAATTGGGTGAAGGCCTAAACTTCTACAGGCCCACATCAGTCAGCCAGTCATTGTAAATGATCTTACCTAGGAAAGGATATGCCCTGGAATGAGGTGTGGCCTTTAGTCTAGACAACTCTGAAAGAAGTAGGCAGCTGGGGTTGGCTGCTGGCAGAGCTCCCAGCAGCTAGAGGAATTAACTTGCAGTTTTGAGGAGAAGCTGGCCAGCACATTCTATCATCAAAGGTAGCCTATGATGCCCTCTACTCATTAGACTATCTGGAAAACATCTACTCCTGCTTCAGGATTCAGCCCAGGCTTGTCCTCCATGAAGTCTCTTTTGACCTTCCTTCCCTAACAACACCGATTGTTTCTGCCTCTGGTAACACCACATGTTCTCTCTGCTTCTGTCACTGCTACACTCTGTGATTTTAAACAGCAACTGTCTACCAATGTTCTCTAAGACTATCACTGGGCTATAGGGTACATATGGCCACTAATAGTGCTCATTATGATGAGTCTGGTGCTGTAAGAAGAGGCAGAGCCAGTGCGTAATTCCGGTTTTAAAAGTTTCATTTGATAGGGTAACAAGATGAAAGCTCATATACTTCAAAGGCAAACATCACCTATTTGTGACTCCTTTATTTTTATTAAGTCTCTGTTTCATGAATGTGTCTGTTAGACCTTTCAAGATGCTTGAAAATTCTGCCAAGTCTGCTATAAAAATCTAGTGACTCAGTTTATTCTTTGCAAAAGATAGAGCTTCTTAAAGAACCTGATGTAAAACCAGAAGGAATAAGTATGAAACTGTTGGTAATAGAAGTTTCTAGAATGTGGATGAGTACCTGGGAAAGCTTTGTAGAAGTGAGAACAGCAGGGCGGCCCCTAATATCTCAGAAACATTTTCCTCCTGCTTTTCGTCCTGCAGTGATCTTAGCAATACTCAAATTATAGAGAGCACAGTAGTGTTAAGGGGTAGGAAAGAAGCCTGAGTTGACTAGTTTGATTCCACCTTAGAATTCCAGGGTGGCATCAAAAGATGATGATAAAATGTCCCCGTGCTTAGAGCCCTCAGTAACCTTCATCAAGCACTAATTCCTCTAGTCATGCAAATATTGGTTAGCACCGTTAGGGTCAGATACTTCTTAGACTCCAGCTGAGTTTTGTGCTTTACTATTTGAAAATTTCTAATAATAGGTAATAATAAGAAAATGAAAGCAGGGTTTCATATAGTACCTTAGCATCTACTAAGTATTGTACCACTGCACTTGAAGTAGTTGTATGATGGTATTAATGCTTCCAAAGAATTTTTAAATTCTTAAAAGTGCACATAAGTGTGGTGCACTATTTGAGATACAAATTTCTAAAGTAGAACAGTGCCTTTTCACAGTCCAAAAGCACTTGCTTTAAGTTAGATAGTACTGTATGTAGAGCTGCAAAAGGCTTTCTCATTTAAAATTATCAAACATTATCATCTCCTTGCACCGTGTACATGTTCTCTCTCATTTCTTCCTGGAGACTGTGGTTGTTGTGTTGATGTTTGCCTTTAGAGATGGAGGAGTATTGTGTAACAACAGTTTCTTGAGTGCTCTACAGAGCAGTTGGCTTATTATAGAAGAAGTCTGAAAAGGGCTACTGGGAAATTTCGTGCTGTCACAGTTCTATGTTGCTACCTGTAATTCTCTATTTTAAAAACTCTGTCCTAATTCTGCATAATTGCTATTGTGGGGCAACTCCCCTATTGTGCTGAATGACTGTTGAGCTGCTCGTGTGTGTGTGTGTGTGTGTGTGTGTGTGTGTGTTAGTCTTTCATGCTAAGGGAACGTCCCTTATCCTTACCTCCTTTAACTTAATAGTGACTTTCATCATCTTATTCTGAATGAATGAATCTTTATTATCCCTGGGGTGGACAGGCAGTATTTTCACATTCTACCTAAAATGTGTGGATTTACCTAAAATATGCAGATAGCCTTCTAATAGCCCTGGATAGTACAGGAGTTTTTCACTGTCATTTGCTCTTTGATTTCAGTGCATTTTATTAGTATATGTTTGCAGTGAATAATGATGACGTTCATCACAGAGAATCTGTACATGTATGTAATACAGCTTTAATGCCTTTGATACCCCTTCCCTCTCTGCTTTCTCTCCTTCCTCCATCTCTTGATCCCGATTTTACTTTCAAAAGGTCTATCATTTGGCAGCGTTGGCTTGTGATTTCTGTCCCTGGCTGCAGTAGTGGGTCATGATACGGTCTCCTATGTCCCGGTGTCACTGTCATCCCACATCTGAGTCTGGGAAGCCCAGGGGCAACACGTTGTTCTTATTAGAAGGTGAGAGCACTGGTCTTCGCTCATAATATGACCAGCTTTTTCATTCTTCCTGAAGACAGAACAAGTACTGCTTGCTTTATGAGTCTTTAATCCAAGGCCTGTGGTATTCCTTTCTTTCTCTTAAGCTGTAGTTAATAAGTATTGGTTAAATAAATTAAAGAATGGCATTTCCTTCCAGAATAGTGGGAGATGTTTTCACATTTCTGTTCTCTGTCAGTCAGACTGTACCTCCCTGTAGAAGTTAATCTGTCTCAGATCAGAGAGTGGATCTCATCACTTTTATATGGTGCCACTGGAAGTGTCCATACCAACATTCCTATTGCCTTTAGCTGTCACTCTCTTCAGTCAGCAAAATATATGTAGGCCTTGACAAGATTTAAGATAATGACCTGTCTCTTTCTTCCCTTTGACTCACATCATATGCAAAACTGCAGAAGGTAGCATTTTTCTGATCTCTTTCCTTTTGGAAATTACTTGGGCTTGGAGAATTTCCATTGAGCTGTGAATAAAATCTAACACATTAATAACATAATAACCAGATGATGAACAATGGGGATGGAAATGTAATATGCAGCAAATTTCCTTTCAGTCACAGAAGATCTTATTAGACGGAATGCTGAACACAATGACTGTGTAATTTTTTCCCTGGAGGAACTTTCCTTGCATCAGCAAGAAATAGAAAGACTAGAACATATTGACAAATGGTGCCGGGACTTAAAAATTCTCTATCTTCAGAATAACCTTATTGGAAAAATTGGTAAGTGTTGGTACTTTGTTCTTAATGTTTAAAAACATTTGATAGATGAACACTTCACAAAATGCAATGTTAGAGGAAGACCATAACTGGGAGAAAGAATGACGGGGGAAAACAGACATGGTCATCTCTCAGTGTGTAGAATGCCTGCCCCAACTTTTCCATTAGTAGTCTTCTTGCCCTATAAAATCTCCATCAAGATGCTGGGAGATTAGGAAGATGCAAGGAACACGTTAATTGACCAGTGTTTTTGAAAGTTTGAAGGGAGGAGGATGGAATTTATACATTTGATTTTATTGCTTGCGTGCAGGACATTGCGCTTTGTACTAGGTACTGAGGAGGTTCTAGTCTAGAATGAAAATGAGAGTAAAGTCCAGGAGGCAGGTGAAGATCAGAATACTAAATTATAGCTGTTAGAGCTCTCTGAGTAATGTGGCTTCGATTTGCAGCCAAGTGGGCTTGTTATTACTGCCCCTACAGTAAACTAAGCCATAACAGCCTTGCTTCCCCTATCCAGATAGACCCTCGTTTGTGGTAGCAGGGTGTCCAAACCATGTGCTCTTTGTTAAAGGGAATATTCTAGTATCCAGAGATAGGACTGAACATGCTCAGTTTCTTTTCTCAATTCACCTAGCAGATAAATTGGTCTTCCTTCCTCTTAACCATCTGACCCCCATAATAATGAAGTAAGAGGCACAGGGAAGGGAACACTGCAGTCATTTTAGAGGAGGTCTGACCGTGTGAAAGCCAGTGAGTATAGCCAATGCTTAGAAAAGCAACAGCAGAGTTTAATGATATTGTAAAAGCATACATGAACTCTGACATCAGGTAGACCTGGCTGTGAACTCTGCCACTCATCAGCTGTGTGAAGTTAGGCAAGTCAGTTAACTCGTCTGAGTTTTAGTGTTATCCTCTATAAAACAAGGCTGATAGCATGTAATGTTCAGAATTGGTGTAAGGGTTACATGAAATCATGCGCTTCACATTGGGCTCACCATGCAAGGATTGCTCATTAGATTCAAGCTGGGGTGCTACTATGGTTATTAAGGTTCTCATTACCCCAGAGCGCCCTAGGTGAGTGAAGGAGGGTAGAGCAGCCGAGAGGAGTGGAGAGAGTTGGAAAGGGAGGGCTGGAGTCCTTTGTAGAGGCAGAGAGCCTGTGTGCTCTGGTCCTGGAGCCCAGTGGTCCACCCTTAGGGTTATGGTTAACGTGCTATGGTGATGGACAGCAGTTCTCAAGCAGGGGCATTTGGCAATGTCTGGGGACAGTTTTAGATGTCACAGATGGGTGTGTGGTAGGAGGTGTGTGCTACTGGCATCTAGTGGGTAGAGGGCAGGAATACTGCTAACCATCATACACAGTACAGAACAGACAGCCCGCCACAAGGAAGAATCCTTGGGCCCCGAGTGTGAGTATTTCTGAGATTGAGCAATCTGGGTGGTATGGCTGCTGGCTCCACAGTTGTAATAAGCCTAAATTTACATCATTTTTGTAAGATTTAATAAAACATTCTATATTTCCTCAGATAGTTATTTTCAGCATCTTTTAGTTTACCAGAAATTAGAAACTCTGGCACATTGTTCAATTAAAAAGGCTGTTACAGAAAACCACCAGCTTTTATGCACGGGGCATTGAAGAACAGTCCTAATTGCACCAATCTGAAAGAGTTCCCCAAATTTTAGTCTCCACAGCTGGGTCCATCACAATTACTAATTAGTAGCATAGTATTTCAGGCTTTTTCAGAGCTGGGAGGAAGCATAAATTTTTGCTTCCAAAGTATTCTTAAATTAAACACCCTTTTAATCCCTAATAATGGGATTTTTCAGTGCTCCAATGCCCAGAGGCATTTAGGCATTTATTTAGCAAGCAAAACTCCTTCTCTGGGCTTCAGACTTTCTGTCCTGCCATCGAGGTAGAAGCTAGCAGAACAATCGCCTTTTCTAGCATTCCTGGCTCCCGGGGAGGTGCAGATGGGCTGTGGAGGAAGGCTGCAGTCGGCAGGGACGCAAGTGCGAGCCAAGGACCATCTGGGGTGCAGGAAAACATGAAGCCAGTGGGGCGGGGCAGGGTGGGCTCCTCCCAGGTGGGCTTCTCCAGCCCCTTTGCTGAACCTTTCTTCTGGACCTCAAAGGGATGGGGGCTACCTGAGGAAGGACGTGTGTCCCTACAAATGGGTATGCTTCTTGTACCAGTGGTGACAACTGCTTCTGGAGTGGTGTGGGCTACGGCTGCTAGACTCCTTTCCTGTTGCCCCAGACGACCTGGACATTTTAGCTTAAGGAGTCTTTTTATCCCCTCATGACCTATTTGACCCTTTGCTTCTTTAGTTGATTGAGGCACTGTATCTGAAAAAAAAAAAAAATCTTACTTTTACCAGTTGATTCTTAAGGATTTAGGGGCTATCCATGTAACAAGGGAGGGAAAGGGAACTCTATTTTGAACAGGTTTTTACTGGGGGCTGACAATTTTAACACTGACAATTTTGAATATTTTCATGTAGGATGCAGACCAGACAATCTGTCTATCGTAATTTTTGGCGGAAAGAAACCTTCAAATCTGTTGACGGTTGTATGTTCAGATGTTGCTGAAGAACCTTTTGTAAACATTAGTATTACTTGCATAATTTAATTTTTGAAACTAATTTATCCCCAAATCCTCATTTCAAAAAAGGAGTAGACTCAGGGCTTGAATGCTAAGCTGTTATTCTCATGTGTAGGGGAACAAATGCATATTTTTTTTTCTTTTCAAAGTTTTATTGATAAACATATAGTAATGAGACAGTTTCAAATCAAATCGAAAGTACAGTTTCAACAAATAATACACTGCATATATTCTTCTTAGTGGTTAATTGCTGTACAAGAT